TATAATTAATACTGAGAAACTGATTAACTGTTAACTGAACCTGATACTGACAATGACAATGTATGCTACTTTTGAGAATTTACTTCAACAGGTTATGAGCCATTTTTTGGACTTTGATGTTACTGAGCTGGATAAGCTCCGTGGTATTGATAACTACAAAATCTGGGCTGCTATGGTAAACTCCAGACTGCTGGACCTTGACTGTCACTTAGATCTATATCTAAGTAATGTGGAAATTCCTGGTGTTAGTGAGTTTACTGACACTGAACGGAATGTGATTAGACTTAAATTTGATCTGATTCTTGACAAGCTTTTGAAAAAGTGCATTACGTCTGCTGTTTATGCAACGTACTGTACTAAACGTGGTTTACGTGGACTTAGCTTATGGCATGCTCTTTTCACCGACTTTGGAACTATTTCTGTTAAGCAGCATTTAGAACTCCATTCCACGTTAACTCGTCAGCTTTTTGATTCTACTGTATCACTTGCTGATAAGATCCAGCTTCTTGAAGATGCTGACCTGGACCTCCTTCCTTTAGATGAGGGCCAGCGAATTATCTTTTTCCATAGTTGTGTGAATAACAGCACTGTTAAGAATGCTATTGTTCGTCTTGACGAGTACGTTCCTTCCCGNCTTAACTGGTTTGCTTTGAAAGATGGGATCTCTGAGATCCTCCATGAGGCAAGCCCTGCTGTATCTGATGAGTCTAGCATGGCTCTTACTGTCCTGCAGCGAACTCCTCGAAGAATCACCATCAAGTCTAAGTTGACTTGTTTTAAATGTGGTGGCATTGGCCACAAACTGAATGTTTGTCCTTCTCGAAGTGATGACGAATATCGAAATCTGCACCCGCCGAAACTGCTGAATAAACCTAGTTATTGTGTGTCCTATGATGATGAGAGACGTAGAACCCCTCCCAACAATGCGTTGTGTGGGCTTGGGTACTTGGTCCACAATCCTCGTCTGCATACTGCAGCCTTTGCAGACTCAGGCGATCTGCAATCTTCTGTCTCTGCATCCCATGGTTGTGCAGCTTCTCCTGATAGCCATAGTGATGGCTTCCTTCTTGATTCTGGTGCTTCTGTTCATATTACACATCAGAAGGACTTACTCCATGATTTTAATCCTGATACCTCCGGTACAATTGCTGGCCTTGACCCTGCTACCACGTTCAAGGTCCTTGGTACTGGTACATTGAAATTTACGTTACCTGATGGTTCGATACTCCCTGTCAANGATGTGNAGTATGTTCCGTCCTGCGGTCGTAATTTACTTTCGATCAGCCGTGCGATTGCCAAAGGTGCAACCTTTCACTTCTTACCGGGTCGTGTTGTTGACCTCCGCTTAGGTCTTCCGGTCGCTGCTTCTACAAAGGAGGGTCTTTATCGTTTTTTATTCCCATGTTGGCCTGCTCGCAGTCCAACTTCTGGTAGTGCGCTTACGGCCCATATGGATGTTCATTCTCGTCTTGGTCATCCCAGTCATACTATTGCACAGCGCGTTGGCGCTTTATGTCCTTTGTATGCTGATGCTGTGAAATCAGAATCGAAGGATCCGCTTTGTGAATCGTGTACCCGTGCGAAGGTTACGCACTCTTTTCCCAAGACTTCGACCACTTCCGGTCACACTGTGCAAACTCCGTTGGAACTTGTCCACTCTGATGTCTGTGGACCATTTCCTCAACCGAGTTTAACTCAAGACTTATATTATGTTGTCTTTGTTGATGATTACACTCATTATATGGCAGTGTATCCTATTGGACAAAAATCTGAGGTATATGAGTGTGCGCGCTCATATTTCCTTCAGTCTGAACGGTTCTTTCATAACCATGGTGGCTACAAGCCGAT